AGCCATCATTCACACTCAATCACCAATCCCAAATGTTCATTATAACTCAGAGTCCTGATTCTGCTTATTTCATGTTTTATAGCAGATTATGAGAAAGCCAGACAAAAGGCAAAAAAAGCTGAGACAACTACTTGCCTTACTTCCGAAAATGACAGCAATGTGGGAAAACTAAATCGCAAAAGAAAGTGAGTATCCTTTCATTGATTATGAGCCTGCACAGATAAAACAGATAGACAGACAGATACCCCACCCCCTAATTTATGTTTAACGGAAGAAAGATGTTTTCAAAAAAATTTAAATGTAACAGTTTTAATAACTCATTTATAATAACTGATTACTTTTATATTTGAAATTGTTTTTAAATAATCAGCTAAAAGTACATATAAAGCCTTAACTATGTTAATTAGACAAGTCAATGTATAACAGTGATTTGTTCTAAACCAGGGATCACCAAACTTGTTCCTGGAGGTCCGGTGTCCTGCAGATTTTAGCTCCAACCTACCTAAACAAGGTAATCAAGGTCTTAGGTATACTTGAAACACCCAGGCAGGTGTGTTGAGGCAAATTGGAGCTGAACCCTGCAGGGCCCTGGACCTCCAGTAACGAGATTGGTGACCCCTGATTTAGACAATTAAAAAAAAAATTTTGCTTAGGAGGGCTAATAATATTGACCTTAAAATGTTTTTTTTTTTTTAAACTGCTTTTATTTTAGCCAAAATTAAAACAAATAAGAGTTTTTCCAGAAGAAAAATGTGTGTAATATTCAAAGTAAGAATGTTGTATTTTATTTTACAAAACCAGATTTTTTTTTCATAATTAAAAACTTAGTGAGAGAGCACATTAATAAGTCCTCCTCAGCACATGATGTGATTATGTTATTTTAATGCAATATATGCACATGGGCATTTAATTTCAACCAGCCAGCCTCAGCGGTGATATAAGGAAGGAATCATTCATGCATTCCGTTTTATTTATTAACTATTTGACTACCACTGAAGTAAAGCAAAGTTAATAATATAATTAGTTTTAATTCTATTTATAGTATTCCTTTTTACCTTTAGAATGACTATTCCGCATTAAGTGAATTTATTTTCAACAATGTCCTTACACTACAATTAAAAACATACATAAATTTGATATTTTATTATGGTGAAAATTTGCTTGTAACTTTTTATTTCTTTTTATTTGCATCAGACCAAATTCACCATACCCAAATCCTTGCCAGTCTTCAGATTAAGAGAACATAACTAAAAGACGCAAACGCGCTCTACCCGTACCACCCTCTCCTCCCTCTCCACCCTCTCAGCTGACATCACCAGCCCGACCAGGACCATTACCCCGGCCGGCACCAACGGCACTACCTGCACCACTGGCACGACAGACAATTACACATAAGCATTATTTTAGTTATTTAAGTATTAACATCACTATTTATTATCATGGATATTGAAAGTTAAAATATGTAAATTATGTAGAATGATAGTAAACAGTAGCTAATGTTATTCTTTCTTTTTTTAAGTTTACAATTTCTTTACATTTCATTGTCCCCTTGTTTGCATGTATCTCTCTCTCAACAGCAACAGAGCGTCACATAATAAGACAACTGGAACATCTAAAAGAAGAGGTTGCTGTCATCAAGCAACTGCTTCTCGCACTGACAAACCAAAGCACCTCAGCAAATTTGTCAGAGGGTGTAAATTTGCCTCTAGAAAACCTACAGGACCTTGAAAGTTTAGAGAACAAGCTGAGGGAGGAGGCCTGCTACAGTGCAGTGGTAAATAATTTTTATTAATATTATTATTTTTAAATATCTGGAATATAAAAAAGACCTGTCAGTATTGACTAAGCCATTGATTCTCAACCATGTTTCTGTGTCTAAATTGGGTACTAGATACTACAGATTCATTCATTCATTCGTTTTCGAAATAGATTCTAAAATATAAGCCATATCAACATTGCACCACTGAGAGCTTGCAGTAGAATATTAATAATTATAAGCACTTTTCAGATGCATTATTTGAGAAATGATAACTTGGTCTACATGAAAAACCCCAGAAATAACGTGTGATGTGTCATTTATGTCTTTCATCAAGCCTGATCTATCATGCCTTGAGCAGGCATAAAGTATGATGGAAGGAACCGCCTCATAAATCTCTATCATGAATTTATTAACAAATCATGTAAATATAGAAAAGTATACAATTCAAGATGCATTTAACCATTTCCTTCTCTTTCTCACTTGCATTTTATGCAAGATATAGTCTTATACACTGTCAAACATGTTTTCATCTGTCACATGAAAGAGCACACAAAGAAAGGATTATACATTTTTTTTGTAATTCTGGAAAATATCAGCCACACTATCATGAAAAATTCGAGACCTCTTTTAAAGAGTTTTTTATGGTCTTAAATTTCTAAAAAATCCATGCATATACACACACACACACATATATATATACATATATATATATATATATATATATATATATTAGGGATGTAACGGTATCAGAATTTCACGGTACGGTAATACCTCGGTATGAATGTCACGGTACGGTATTTATTGAATCATTTACAGGAAAATACAAAACTTATGAAAATACTCCAAAAAAGTGCCAAAAGTGTAAATGACATACAAATTAGCCATCTATCTGTAAGCTTTGAAACAGGAACTTCAATTTTAATAACAAAAAAATATTAAACCATGTAAAAAAATAAAGTTTCAATTTAGTATTGTTGAAAACTCATCACATTCAACATTTAATCACTCACTCACTCACTTAGATAGAGATGGGTTTAAAGGAAAATTATCATATAAATATAATCTGGTAAAAGCTGGTATCTCTGGGTATTTACAATGTCCCCTGCAACAGAAAAAAACCCTCTCATTTGGGACTGAGGTTTCTGGGACAAGAGAGATATGACTTGGCCCCGGTTGCCAGCTGTGGGTAACGTTGTGCATTGTCTTTCCCCCACTTGAGAGAACAAACCATGATTAAGATAGAGATCTCATGTCTGCATCAATCTGAACAGTGTGCTGACAACACCGCTATTCAGTACGCGCGCGGCGACAACACCCGCTTTAGAGTTTTCCAGCTCTTTTTCATCCCCGCTTCTAGCAGCACACTCCATTTCCGCATTACTGGATCTGTAGCGACAACAGACCGCAAAGGATTATGGCCACGCCTGGGCTGATGGGAAATGTAGTTTCAGCTACCTCCCATTCGCTTCATTCACCTGAGCAAATTTTCTCAGAAGACCTATAGTTTTACCGAGTCATGCGACTTCGGTAATATCGAAAAAATTTAATATTGCGGTATGACGGTATTTACAATACCGTTACATCCCTATTCTTTAGTGGTTTTACAGCAGCATGATACTGTCTCACACTTCATTATCTCTCTAGATCACTGCCCCTCCTATAACCCAGCAGTGCCCCCTGTATAAAATCAATCACAGGCATATGTACAGAACACACAATTACAGCTGAACTACAACAACAGTAGCATTCAGCAATATGAACAAAATAATACACTTTCTCTTTTCTTTCATTAATTCTTATTTTTGGTGAACAAACACCACAAACTGGAATGAAAGCACAAAGTAGTGAGCGTAATGACACGGAATTAGACGTGTGCTGTTCCATCAGTAACCAAAGTGGGCCCTCATTACAGATGTTGGAAAACCAGAATAGTGTTTCTATAGTCAGTTTGTGTAAATTGGCTGTGCAATAATAGGGTATATGCCGAAGCATGCTAATAGGACTTTTAATTTGCCAGTAACCTGGGTTAAGCGCTTCCGGTACACTGTATGCCAAAGCAAAAATTTGCGTGTTTAAGGTCTGCTTTCTTTAGAAATCAGCAATCTCCACTGCTCGAGTGATATCTGATATAAAGTGGGTCTCAGATTGTACAAGAAGCACTGCATTACATTACATTTTTCCCCGCCATGTCTTTGTAATATGAGCATTTATTTTACCCCAGTATATTCAATTGAGCTTCTGCGCTAGCCTGCCGATTCTGACCGGCCGGCCACCCCTGCTCTACTTGTCCCCACAATGCAACAGTTCAGTCAACTTCTCTTTCTTCCGCACACCACATAATGCTGGCCTCTTCAACTCTCCTCTTCTTTTATACTCTCACCCATTTCCTTTTAGCCGTTCCATGGGTGGAGACCAAATAAACAATGTTGACTGTCGTCACAGGAAATACCAAAAATCATAAATGCATGATTATATGCTGTTATGGCTTTGCAAGTTTTTTTCCAAACTAAGCCTCAAAATCACCCCAGAATTGATGAAAAAGACCCAACAGCACACAATGGGAAAGGTGCATATTTCAGCCTTTAGGCAAATGCTGTACAGGTGTGTCTCATGTCTGCGAGGCAAATATTCAGCTGTTTTCTTAGCTTTTACCCCAGAACTTTTTTCTGATGCATTTACCACTCAGGCAAAGAATAAACAAGTATTTCCTGTCTGCTTTACAAATTTTAGAACAATTATTTTGTTATTATGAATATATACGAATAAAATTAGGCCATTTACAGCTTTCAAATCTGTGTCTTATCAATGACAAAAATGACTTTTATGATCAATTATGTAAGGAACTCTGAAAACTGAAATGACACGGTTTCAATTTACTAAAACTTCTATGTTAGGCGACTTTGACACAATTTACATTGTAAAAGCACTAGATAAATAAAGATGAATTAAATGTGCTTAAATGTGAACATGTTAATGGACCGAACAAAACATGATCTTATATATTTTACATTTAATGTGCATGAAAATGACAGTGTGTGTAGCCAATGTTTCCAGTGTCTTTTCACTATTCAGCTTTTGATGAAAGTTTTTAAGACTGAATGAAAACTAGTTTTATTTATTTATTTCAGACCTAATTGAAAAGAATGAGGAGAGTAAAGAGGAGGAACATCATGTCAAAATTGAGGAAAATACTCATTTACAGACTTATGGTATTTTGAAAAGGAGAGACAAGAATCGTTTCACCTGCACTCAGTGTGGAAAGAGTTTCAGCCAATCATCATCCCTTAATCAACACATGAGGATCCACACTGGAGAGAAACCATTCACATGCACTCAGTGTGGGAAGAGTTTCAGCCAATCATCATCTCTTAATCTACACATGAGGATCCACACTGGAGAAAAACCATTCACATGCACTCAGTGTGGGAAATGTTTCAGCCAATCATCAAACTTAAATCAACACATGAGGATCCACACTAAAGAGAAACCATTCACTTGCACTTATTGTGGGAAGAGTTTCAGCCTATCATCATCCCTTAATATACACATGAGGATCCACACTGGAGAAAAACCATTCGCATGCAGTCAGTGTGGGAAGAGTTTTAGCTGTTTATCACACCTTAATCACCACAAGTGGATCCACACTGGAGAGAAACCATTCACATGCTCTCAGTGTGGGAAGAGTTTCAGCCAATCATCATCCCTTAATATACACATGAGGATCCACACTGGAGAGAAACCATTCACATGCACTCAGTGTGGGAAGAGTTTCAGCCAATCATCATCCCTTAATATACACATGAGGATCCACACTGGAGAGAAACCATTCACATGCACTCAGTGTGGGAAGAGTTTCAGCCAATCATCATCCCTTAATATACACATGAGGATCCACACTGGAGAGAAACCATTCACATGCACTCAGTGTGGGAAGAGTTTTAACTGCTCATCACTCCTTAATAAACACATGAAGATCCACACTGAAGAGAAACCATTTGCATGCACTCAGTGTGGGAGGAGTTTCAGCCACTCATCGTCCCTTAATCGACACATGATGCGCCACACAGGAGAGAAACCATTCATGTTTAATCATGTTGTTTAATCCTGCCCCTTTTCACAGCGTCGTACAACAGAATTTTGCATGCTCAAACTCTACTGTGACCGCAGCTTCGGTGCGGGATGAGTTCAGCAACACATCAGACCTTAATAAACACATGAAGACCCACACTGGAGAGAAACCATTCACATGAACTCAATGTGGGAAGAGTTTCAACAGATCAGCAAACCTAAATGAACACATAAAGATCCACAGTGATGTGAGAGAGTATGTGTGCTTAAGTGTGAGAAGACTTTTCTTACAGCTCAAATTAAAACTGCACCAGACGATTCTCACTGGAGAGACCGTACAAGTTTTCACACTGTGACAAGAGGTTTAATCAGTTAACACATCTGAAAACAGAAGAAGATTGGATGCATCTGTACTCCACTTTCCAGTGTATTCATGTAGCTAGAGTTGCTTTGGATGATGTTCTCTGTCTGACTCCCTGAATGAGAAAAATCACTAGGAAGAAAGTCCATTCATTTGTCCTGTGTTGCATCTTTTATTAGTAAAGTTTCTTTACTTTTAGGGTCAAGATTCTTTCTAGTTTACTACATTTACTTTTTTGAGTAGAATACAAACTTGATGAATATTTTATGATTTGGGCAGACCGACAGGTATTCAGTTTTACAATATTAATATACTGTGATGATCCCAAAACTCCAGATTGCCTGCATTACTCATTAATGGGTATATAAAAAGTTGTTGTGCTAGCTACTCCAGGTCGCTGTGGCTTCTCAGGAGTCATCATGTCAAGACCTGCCATCTCATTGACTCTTTAACCTTATGTGTTGTTGTGATTTATATCCTAAGTCTTTATCTTCATTATTATCCCTAAACATTTGTTGGTTGCTTTGATTGATTGTTCTACGAGTTACATTTTATAATAAATAATTTGCATTCAGGCTATTTTGTTGGCTCGTCTCTCTTTTATGTTGGGACTCAAACAAGCATAACACTTTTTGTAAAATGTGTCCAGTTGCGTCCAAGATCTTTTCCTTTCAGTCATGACCATAGGTAAGAGTAGGAACCTAGATTGAGCAGTAAACTGAGAACACTGCCTTTTGTCTCAGCTCCTTCAACACAACAATCACATTAACTACATTACTGCTGCTGCACTGATCCATCTTTAAATCTTACATTCCATTGCTCATGAAAAAAAAAAAAAAACGCAGATACTTGAACTTCATTTGGGGTAAGGACTTTCCTCCAATCTGGAGATGGCCACCTTTTTCGTCAAGCACCCTGGTTTCTGACCTAGAGGTGCTGTTTCTTTCCCTGCCATGTCACATTCAGCAGCAAACCGTCCCACTGCATGTGGAAGGTCCATATCCTATGAAGCCAAAAGGACAACGTTACCTGCAAATGGCAGAGACAGTCCTAGCCTGCACCTAAAATTCTGTCAGTAAATTTTTTTTATATTTTAAATAAAACATTAACAAAATAAAATAAATAAATAGATAGATATTGTAGTGGTGGAAGGGGAAGTAGGATGGCTTGTTCCACCATAAACCGAGATGGAGCTTTCTCAGGAGGCATGGACTAGTGAGTGAGATGTCTCAGACTGAAGGTGTAATAATGAAATAAATGCTCAGGAAGCCCCAACCCTTTTTCATCAACTGGCTGTTGCAATGTACTCCTATGCAACCTAGAATGCTTATCCTCTTATCAGAGCAATGGTTCTCAATTGTGGTGCTTGTGCAAAATGAGTGGACAACCGTCCCAAATTAATTTAATCTCTTATTACTAGATCTTAGAATCCCACCTGAGAAACCACAAAAGCAAAGATTTGACTTATCTTCATCTGCTTAAGATCAGTTTGCACCAGATGAGCAAGAGATGACATTTGTTTGAGTTTCTTTTGCCGACTGGCCTCTACAAAACACGGCGTTCCTGATGGATTGGTGACTCAGCTTCAGTGACGTCCTTAAGATTCACTCGCTTGTGAGTGGAAATTGTCCTGGGTTACCAGGGTGACAAACTCTGCTGAGAGTCGGTTTGCAGAAGTTTTTTTAGCAGTTTCGGCGGTTCCTAAACTTTAAGAGGTTGCAAGGAAAGTTTTTTGCGACCTGATTGAGTGGCTGTGCATTGACCGAAAGCAAGGCGAGAGGGGGGAGAGAGCAGCAGCGAGCATGAGCGAGCTAATGCAAAAATCAAGTTTTAAAATAATCTGGTTTGCTCCATCCCAATGGCACTGTCTTCTAATGAGCAGTTGCCATAGAGGGCGGGCCCACGCCCTATACCATTATGCTCAGTGTAAGTCATTAACAGACTAGTTGGTCATTTCATGTGGTAAAATATCTAGTAAGTTTGTTACTATTGTACAACAAATGTTACAAGAAGACATTCCTTCAACATGAAACAGTCAATGAAAAGGTTTTGAAAAGTGATTTATAGCTCAGATTGGAGGCTTCTAGAGGGGATGTAGACCTTCAGCTGTAGGTGGAGGTAAGAGGGTGCAGTGCCAGTGATTTGAACTTGACAAGAGCCTTGTGCAGTAACCAATTCAGGGAGATAAAGAGAGGAGTTACATGGGCTCTCATTGAAGACCAGATGAGCTGCGGCGTTCTGGAGCATCTGTAGAGGATTAAGGGTGCAGGATGGGAATCCAGCTAGAAAAGGACTCTCGGGGTCCAGCCTTGAAATGAAAAGAGTTTGCACTAAAAGTTGTGCAGCATGGCATGATCTGTTAAGAAGAGTCTGATTTTTCTGATGTTGAAAAGTGCAGCTCTGCATGATGGAGCTGTGTTAGCAATGTCCTCTTTGAAGGACAACTGATCATCCAGTATCACCCTAAGATTTCTTACCGAACTACATGGGGTAATGGTGGATGATCCCAGCTTGATTGAGAAATTTTATTGAATGTGTGGAGTTGTAGGGAAGGTGATGTATGCAGATGAGTAAGCAGTTCACTAGCTGGCCTTCGTTACATCTGCTTAAAAGTGTTTGGGAATGTGCCAGTGTGGAGTGAAGGAAGAGGTTGACTTTTTTTTCAGAGGGTGTTGTTTGATGGAGATTTAGGTTGGATTTGGTGGGAAATAGACTGCTAATTTGAGTGTTTATTTGTGTAAAGAAGGAGGCCAGATGATAAGGAGTTGATGGAGAAGCACAGAGCAAAGTATAAAATGTCTTGAATAGTTTGTGGACGTCTGAAGTGGTGTTAAATTTGTAATGGTAGTATGGGGTTTTGGCCGAATGAAGTTGGGAGGCTAATGATGCCAGCTGGGTTTGGTACTTGCTAAGGTCAGTGGAGGCTTTTGATTTGTGCCATGCTCTCTCTGTTGCCCTGGATGCTGTTCAGTGTTATCACAGAACATGTCCTAACCCTAAAACTAACTATTTTCCCAGACCATCCGACAGCCAGGGGTTAGAGGGAGTAGGTGCGTTGGGCTGGTGGCGACAGGCAAGATCTAGGACCTAGGCAGGATGTATATTGGAACAAAGTGTTTTTGCTGCACTATTTACATCAAGAAGTGAGAACTGTGTGTGTGAGGGAAGAGAGGATGTAACAGTGAAGGAGAAGTGTGTGGAGGACAAACCAATTTTTACTAGTAGCAATTTAGTTGTTAAAATCAACAATTGAATTCTTGTTATCAACAATTAAGTCTGAATGGCAGCCTACATTTAGTGAAGTTTCACAAACTAATTTTGAGAGGAGCATGTGATATGATTGACCACAGCTGGTCTCTCATCTACAATCTTTAGTTAGCCAATCAGATTAATCCAAACTCATAATAAGAAGCCTTGCAAAAAATAACTTCCTTATCTTCGTTTTCCGATGAAAGCTCTTGACAGGACTGCGCCAGCTTCTTCACAAGCTTCTAAAGTTCAACATCTCTCTACAACCCATCAACAATTCTACTACCATCATCTGACTATGACAAATCAACAACAGCAGCAATACAACAACAGCGAAAATAAGAAATAGCAGCATTAAATCTACTCTCACATCATCTACAGCAACATGGACAGGAACGAAATCTCTACTCTCCTAGAAACGCCAGCCCCAGCTCAACAACACCAAGCTCAGCCTGGAAGCCAACTCGATACCAACGCTCCAATAAGAGGCTGAAAGCCTATCTGCTCTACTTCAGCAAGGACACAATCCCCATCTCCTGCCACTCCAAATCACCACCCACCTTCTCCAGGTTCTTAATGCGCCTCCGCAAGATCATCATCCCTCACTGCCAACAGGATAACAATGACCGAACTCCACCAGACCCTCATAAATGCCGGAATCTCCATCCCCAGCCGCTGCAATAAAACAAAACTACTGAAACTCTATGAAACCATCTCGTCACCAACTCCACCCCATCAGGACAGCAGAACCGCTCGCTCCCGCCACATCCCCTATCCTTAACCCACCACAGCTCCGCATTCACAAAATCTCCTCGGACCATCAAAAAAAGCAATTGAGTTAAGCAATAAAAACCAATTACTCAGAACAAGACAAACTGCATCTACCATAACATTCCAAAACATGGATAATCCACCGAATAATGACGCCAATCTCGGACTTACCACCCCTCTCCCTTGGCCTCCAGCTCCACATTCCACTGAAAACTCCAGCCCTACTCTTCCAGTCATCCATTCCACTCTCAACCCTCCTTAAATCTCTCTTCCTTCTAACCTCCCTCACTCTTCAAGCCAGCTTTTTTCTACCCAGTCTTTCTCTACAAGTCCTTCCTCTCCCTTCTCATTTCCCCTCTTTCAGTATCCTTACCTTTTCTCCTCTACATCCCTTCATCAAGCACCCACCTGCATTACTAACCCTTCCCAACAGTCCACCCTCCCTACTCACATTTCTTCCGCACGGCCCCCTCCTCCAACACCATCAAGAACCTCATCCTATCAGGTGCTGACATCGATTATTATTCAGTTATACGTGTTACTCAGTGAAATCGGTGTCCCTACTGGGGGGCCATGGATACTGATCTTCACAACAGAGTTTTCTTAGAATGCTGTAATCTTTCCTGCATGGTCTGCCATTCAAATCTGCACATGACCACTTCCTGTCCCTTCATAATCCCCTCCTCTGATAAAGGACTACAAAGATCCACCAGCTACGTACCCTGCCTCTATACCTCTGCTATCCCCATTCTACTTTCTCCTCCCTCTTCTCAAAACCCTCCCCTCTCTGTCTTGTAATAACTTTAATATAGCAAGATGCTTTTGCCATCTCTGCAATTACTTAAAAAAAACTTTTTTCATATTTTCTGAGAAAGCTTAACAACACCTTGCAACCATGTAGCAACCACCTTGCAACGCTTTAGCAACTGCCTAAAAACACCTTGCAAATGCCTAGCAACACTTTAGCTACCACCTAGCAACACCTTAGCAACCACCTATGAACACCTTAGCAACCACCTAGCAACACCTTATCAACCACCTAGCAACACCTTAGAAACCGCCTAACCACACCTTAGCAACCACTTAGTAACACCTTAGCAACTGCCTATCAACACCTTAGCAACAGCCTAGCAACAGCTTAGCAACCGTCTTCGTACCCACCTAGCAACTCCTTAGCAACCACCCAGCAACACCTCAGCAACCCCCTAGCAACCGCTTGGCATCACCTTAGCAATTGCTTAGCAACCACCTAACAACTCTTTAGCTACCACCTAGCAACACCTTAGCAACTGTCTAGCAACACCTAGCAACACCTTGGCAAATGCCTTGGTAACCGCCTATCAACACCTTAGCAACTGCCTAGCAACACCTTAGCAACTGGCTAGCAAAAACTTAGCAACCACCTAGCAACACCTTCGCAACCATCTAACAACAGCTTAGCATCCACCTAACAACCACCTAGCAACACCTTAGCAACCGTCCAGCAACACCTTAGCAACCGCATAGCAACACTCTAGCAACCGCTTGGCAACACCTTTGCAACTGCCTAGCAACACCTTAGCAACCATCTAACAACTCCTTGGCAACCACCAAGCAACACCTTAGCAGATGCCTTGCAATGCCTTAGCAACCGCCTAGCGATACTTTAACAACTGCCTAGCAATACCTTAGCAACAGCTTAGCAACCGCC